GCGCCGGCCCTGCGCACCCGCCACGAAAGCGGCCGCGACGGCGGCAAATTGCTCGCTCGCACGCGGCCCCTCGGCGGCGGCGCCGATGACGTGGCGGGCGACAGAAGAGGCGACCGCGCCGCGGCCGTGGGTCGAGTAGAGCGCCGTCACGTCTTTGACGATGCCCTGCAGGTTGGCCTCCGCCAGCCTGGCGGGTGACGATTGGTGACGTCATTGGGTCGGGCCAACGGCGCGGGGGCGGGTGCTCAAGGGTGCGAGGCATCGGCCGGTCGTGCCCGCGGCAGGGGACGCGTCCGCCGCAGGGAGCCGCCATGGGCGCGCCCCGCCGTCCCCAGCCGCGATGCAAGCGCCGCCCGCCCGCACTTCCAAGGACAACGGCAGCGGGAGCCCCCGCCCCCGGAAGAGCCCCCGCCCCCTGACTCGGCCCCACTCACGCTCCAGCCCGCAAGCCAGGCGGGCGGCTCGGGCCTGCTGCGGACCCCATGCGGCCGCTTGCCCCTCCTGGGCCCCCACCTGTTCAGCAGGCCCGTGATCCTCCGCTCTACCGCGGGCTCCAGCAGGCCCGCCGCGGGCCCCGCCCTGGCCGCCTCTTGCTGCCGCCTGAGCGCGGGGGGTATGTATTTTGCCGCACCACCACCGCCAGCTGCCACCGCTGGCCCCGCCGCAGCAACCTGGTCGGTACCCCCCTCCAAATCTGACCCCCCGCGGCCGCTACCCCCATTGCCGCCGTCCTCGCCCTCGTCGCTGCCGCTCCCAGAGGCCGTCCTCAGATCTTCCGACGCGCCGCCTGCCCATCTTCTCCGCCCGCCGCCCTCCACATCTGCCTCGTCCGCCTCCTCATCTTCCAGCCCCTCGCCGCTCTCTGAGGAGTCCTCCAGATCACCAGACCCCAAGCTGCCGCTTTCCTCCTCCTCCTCCTCCTCCTCCTCCTCCTCCTCCTCTGAAGACCCCCCCATGCCCCAGCCGGCGCCCCCGCTGTCTTCCTCCTCGTCCTCAACTTCGCTGCCGCTGCTGCCGCCGTCGAGGCCAAAGCCGCCAATGCCGTCGTCGTCGCTGCTGCCGCCGCCGCCATCCCCGTTCTCTCCGTCGCTGTCGCCGGCGGTGATGCCCTGTGATCGCAGCGCAGCAACGCGGCAGAACCGGAGGAGGTCGGTTGAGCCGCATCAACCGACACCCACACTTGTGCGCAACCCGTGGTACGCATGACACCGGGCACGGGATAATGCTGTGAGGTAGCCCCAAAACATCTCGCATGATGCCAGCACAGATATTTCTAGGGTCTTGCGGTTTATGCCTAGCTGCGGGCCAGCTAGGCATGCTGACAGGCGCTCACCGCCAGCAAAGTATCCAGACCATCTGCATCCTTGGCTGCGGCCTTCTCGCCCTGCACAGGGACAGATGGTGCGTCAGGGGCTGCCTGCTTGATCATCGCCACCACCGCTGTCGTGCGCCACATACACGGCGGAAGCGTGGGCGTCCGCCACGAAGCGATGAGCCAGCTGCACACAACCCCCCCGCCCGAAACCAATTGCCGGGGTGCTGTTGTTGCTGCCGCAGCTGGCTCCGACACGGCAGTCGTGGCGGCCGCGACTGCCGCTCCTCTCTCCGCCGCCTCTGCTGCAGCTGCCGCCGCCGCTGCTGCCGCACGCCCGCCAAACATGGCTGCCTGGTGCTTCCGCACGCGCGCGCACCTTCTTGACCCCCAACAGGCGCCGCAGCTCGTCCTGAGATCTCAGATCAGGATCCTCCTCCCCTGCGGCGAGCGCCTCGAAAAACTTCGTCTTGCTGCTGCGCGGAAGCTGCTGCTCCTGCTGCTGCTGCTCCCCCCTGCCCTGTTTCCGCAGAAGCGCCTCGGGTCGTCGATCGGACAGCCGCTGCTGCTGCTTTGGCAAGGCGGCGGCAGCAGGCGCGGAGTCGGGCTGCTGCTGCTTCCGCTGTTGCTGCTGCCGGTGCGGGGAGGGCCTGGCCTGTGCAGGGCCCTCTGTCCGCTGCCGCTTGGCAGCTGGCCCTTGCTGCTGCTGCTGCTGTGGCTGCATGCAGGTGTTGTTTCAGGCAGCACGAAGGGGGCGGTCAGAGGACGACGCGAGTTTGCGATACAAGCCCTGGCAGCAGCATACACCCAATCATATGTTATGAGAGGTCGCGTGGCAGTGTCGGCGCGGCAGCATGCAGGGCGAGTGCAGAGCAGCAGCGGCGGCAGCGCTCCGCTGCCAAGCGAGCACAGCAGGCGGCTGCTGCACCTGGGCGCCAGCCGGCCGCTTGATAGCGATTGCTGATCGCCGCAGCTGTTGATACTCAGCTCTATGCTGCTTTTTCGCATCCCTGGCCGCCTTGCGTGCCTGCTTCCTGCTCTCGATCGCCTTGCCAGGTCGCCCGGGCCCTTTTCGAGGCCCGCCACCTGGCCCGGCAAAAGGCTTCTTAGACGCTCCAGGATTAAACTGCTTGGCCAACCCAGCTGGTAGGGTGGGGCCAGTGTTCCACCTCCCCGGTGGCCCCATCTTCGACACGGTCTATGCTGTTGCTGCAGCGATGAATATTGAGTTCCCAACAAGGCTCATTTACTCCAGCGCACGGCAGCCCGGCCTTTGCCAGGTGGGCGGTTGGGCACGTCACCGCTACATGGTCACCACGAGGGTCACCAGCGCTGTCTCACTAGCGACATGGGCAGTGCATGCGCCTTGTTTGTACATGGGATCATGATAGGCAGCGTGCTGCCGACGATCACCTTGCTGGCATTAGACAAGCTCTCGAATCGCCCTTCCGGACCCTGCTGCCCACGCAAGCCGCCATCACGTTGGCCCCGCGACTGCACACGCGCCGTAGCCGTCACGCTCACATGAACCCCACCACTGGCCGCCACCTGAAAAGCTCTGTTGGAGCAAACCTATTTCGTTTGGATAAGAATTACAAACGCTTCAGTCATGCACAGCCAGCACCACCGGGCACTGCTGAACCGCATTGGACCGAGGAAAATGGATATCATACATTGGATGCCAACGCCCATCACTGGTCAACGAACTGCGGCACACGACGCCCCCGCTTCCGGGAACGCAGGCGCCTGCTCAAACTGCTGCTGCAGCCCCACTCCATCCGCAATCCTGAGGCCACCATGACCGTTGATGCCGCCGCCGCCGCGCTCCGCCGCATGGCCGTTGACGCGCCCCCGCCAGACCGCTTCGCCACTTTGAGGCGGGGCAGCGCCCTGGGCCGCGCCGCCGCGCCGCGCGGCAGAGTTCGCGACCGGCGCTTGCGCAGGCAGGGTGTCGGCGGGGCCGGCGCCTGCAGCTGCGCTTTCATAAGCCACTGCGCGGTCAGCTTGCGAACGGTCCTCTTCAGCGCCGGCCTGCCACAACGACTTGGAAAGCAAGACCGCACAATCATCGGCCGCAGCTGACAGGCGGTCTGAGGCCAGGGCGCGCCGCGCACACGGCCACAGGGCCAGCAGCCTGCGCCAGCGCCGCCGCTGATTGTCGGGCAGCTGCGCAGCCCAAGCTTGCAGGCTTGCAGCAGTGGGGGGATGCATCTGCTGCTGCTCCTCCTGCTGCTGTTGCTCCTGCTGCTCGCCTTCCGTTGCGACACTGCCAGCGAATGTGGTGGCAGCCAGGCGTGGCAGCTGGACGATGGTCAGGGCCACTGCAGCCGAGACCTCGGGGTCGCTCACCCCCCTGTCGCTGCCCCTGTCATCGACGCGCCCGCTCCCGCCGCTGCCGCTGCAGCCGCCGCCGGGCACGCCAAGGCCGCTGTTGCCGCCGGCGCTGGCGCTGGTGCTCGCGCAGTTGCCGCTTGGAGGCGCTGCAGCGATCTGAAGAACGCCGCTCAGCACGCAGTCGCACCATTTGCGGCGCTCCTCGGCGCATGCGAACGCACAGCTGCCCGAGCCCTCCGCGGCAGCAGCGAAGCGCAGCAGCGGCACCAGGCGCGCGGCTGTGACGCGCGACTGCCGCTGCCCTTGCGCCGCGGCCCATCCAGCCCCGCCGCCGCCAGCCAGCAGCCGCCCTGATGCCGCCAGGAAATCTGCCGTCCACCCCGCTGGAGGGGCGTACCCCCATGCAATCAGGCTGGCCGCGACTGCCGAGCAGTCGACCAGCCGCACGCAGGGCAGGTGCTCGTGCACCTCCTCCAGGGCAGCTACCAGGAAGCTGCCAGAGGGACGGTACCCCAGCTGCTGCAGCAGCCGCAGGCCTGCGCACAGGTCCCAAGAGGCGGCGGGGCGCCGGCCGTAGCCGCGGCGCACAGAGGAGCGCAGC